AATGGTACCAGGAAGTCCCTTGCATATCCAGTTAAGTTCAGAACAAACCACAGTCATGTGGGCCAATATGACATGACACCAGAAAAGGAGATGTTGATTCTCTCTATTGGTGCCTCTACGGGCACAAACATATCCGCTATGTCTAGTGATCCGGGGTTAGGACAATGGCAACAGCACCAACTCAATGATCAATCCTCAACATCCCATACCCACCTCCCGACGGTCTTCTCGAACCAGATTTAAAACTAGCTTATCATCGCGCGCTACTCCAACACCATCCAGACAAAGCTAGGACCCTGCCAACCAGTACCACTCCCCAAGCCAACGGGACCAGCAACTGTACAAATTCTGATTGGCAGTACATAAACCATAGAGAGGCGATACTAGCATCCAGTGTAGCCACTAATGTTTCGGCGTCAGCCAGCACAGAAAAGCCCCTGCACCCGTTACCACTACTACCCAATGCTCCGCTACTCAGATACACAGTCGACCAAATAACTACGGCGTACAAAGTGCTCTCGGACCCAACCTCACGGGCTGAATATGACTGCTCCCTCCGTCTGTTAGGGATAAATAGCAGCAGCTATGGTAATGGGCATGGAGATGGCGATGGTATACTGTTTAGAACAGGCATGGAGGTTTTCGATCTAGACGATATGCATCTTATGGGGAGTGGCATTATCGGTTCTGACCCTGGCACCAGCTTCGACGACAAGAGCGGTGGGATATGGTACCATCCTTGCCGGTGTGGGGAGGAGAGGGGCTTCCTGGTGTTGGAAGAGGATCTTGAGAGGGAAGCGGAGAGGGGGGAGGTACTTGTCGGGTGTCGTGGCTGCAGTTTGTGGGCTAAAGTTGTGTTTGCTGTTGATGAGGGCGACGATGGCGACGAGGGCGACGAGGGCGGCGGGGGCGAGATGGAAAATAAGCAGATACCATGAAGGAAATTGGCAATTCAGGACTGATGGAATATGAGGGAATCTACAAACCCCCGTATTCTCTGGCTTTGGCACAATGTCTACACCTTTCACCTAGAAGGACGTGCTTTTCATCGGCTTACAACAGAACTCCACCTATAACACGTACTACGCCATCTAACGGCGCACTGCAGCATGGGGTGGCTTGCTGAGGTCAATTTGTGGAGGAAGTTATGGCCATCGTCAGTGGCACATTGAGGAAATTCGTGATGCAACGCATTGCAAGCCACTCGACCCTCCTCAGGTGACAGAGAGCCATATGCTGATACATAAATCACTCCTTCAGGTATGTTCGCTCCTGGCAATTCAGACGTATCTACCCTGTGTATGGTATATCCTCTCCCCTGGCACCAGCCCTCACCCCTCTTTAATCGATCAGACTTCGAGTGTACATACAAGGTCATTGTAGATAACGCCTCCGCTAAGTACACCCGGAGTGAAACTAGATTTGAGATGAATTATATGGGCGTTTCCCTATGATATGTAGGCGAAGAATTTTATTTATACTCAACGACAAAGACACCTCACCCCTGCCTTTTGGATATATTGCGAACAGTAGATGGGCACATATACTGGTTCGTTTTGTTGTCCTTGCTTCTTAAGAATACTAATACTTCACTATCACAAGTTCAAGTAAAACCAAGAAGGGTTATGAATACATCCTGTTACATACTCGTATGGTTTGCAGTTGTTGGTCGTTTGCCTCATTGAAACTTAGGTGGAGAACGCGCTTTCCCAAATACGAAGGCAACAACTTCGAACAACTTCATCCTCTCATCTACAAGTACAAAACTCATCACTACTCGATCTTCTAACCCATCAACTCCCATTCCCCATCGCCCAAAATGCCGAAGATCGTTCACATATCATCGCAAACCCAATTAGCGGAACTTCTCTCGTCGTCCTCCATTGTCGTGGTAGATTGTAGGTTATACGCGCTCCAATCACAACCCCTCCATACCCCTCCCTTAACTGTGCTCCCCCACAAGCCGTCAGCGCTTCTGGATTGCTATAGCACCAGTCGAGCACGAATGAGAAAATCAACTTGTATCACAGTACTAACATTGGCCTTTTCTATTTCATCGACAGTCTATGCAGACTGGTGCGGACCATGCAAAGTGATCGCACCGATTTTCGAGTCACTGTCAAACAAGTTTTCCAGCCCGACGAAGATATCCTTTGCTAAGGTCGATGTCGACTCGAATCAGGAATTAGCAGCCTCCTATGGAGTTAGTGCGTAAGTTACAACAATGGCGACCTCCTTCTGTCCTTTCATCTATCTATTGCTGTTCTCTTGTGTTGGCTCTTGCACACTGTCTACTTTACTACCTTCACTTGCCATCCTCATTACCAACGACTCTGATCGCGAGAGATTGACAGCTAACTCGCATATTTACGATTGCCTTCTAGCATGCCCACGTTCCTAATCTTCAATAATGGCGCCGTTGCCCATTCAATCCGCGGCGCAAACCCGCAACTGCTCACATCCAAAATCGAAGAATTCGCCAGGAGTGTTGGATCTAATGGTGACGGCGCAGCCGGTACTGCAGGCGAGGCTAGCGGCAACGGCTCACGTTGGTTAGGCGGAAGTGTTCCGAAGGGTTATTCAGATGTCTCTGGCGAGGTTGAAATCAAAGACATAGATCTTCTCAACTACGACAACCAGGTCGGATCCGCAAGATCGCTATTCGCAGCAGAAAAGCCCTCTGGTTTCTCTAGTGCCGAGAGTAGTGGGAATGGCAAAGATAAGGCCTCCGCTACACCGGACTGGGTGGAGAGTGATACGGACGAACAGCTGATGCTATTTTTGCCCTTCCAGTCGTCTATTAAGCTTCATTCATTACAGATAACTTCTCTCGCACCTCGCGAAAGTGATGATGACGTGCCAATGCGGCCCAAGACTTTGAAGTTGTATGCAAATCGTGCGCATATCATTGGCTTTGAAGACGCCGATGAAGACAGTCCGACGCAAGAGATAGAGTTGTTGCCACAAGATTGGGATGAGGAGACGAAAACGGCAACTGTCGAGCTGCGATTTGTCAAGTTCCAACGCATAATGTCGCTTGTGGTATACTTCGTAGACGGAGATGGGGATCGTGAGAGGATCCGAGTGGATAGGCTGAGGCTATTTGGTGAAGCTGGGGAGAAGAGGGAGCTGGGCAAGCTGGAAAAAATTGGGGATGAACCGGGCGAGTAAACTGGAGAAATGCTTTTGTGGTTTATATACAAGCAAGATGGATGTCGTGAAAGATATCGGGTTTACTTCGTCCTGTATGAAAATAATTGTTCATCAAGCATTTATGTTTTATCTTCGAAAAGCCTTGCGGGAATGGAAATTATTAGGCCACAAGGGCAAAAGAGCTCGATCACCACCAGCGCCGTGGTGGTATAGAGGGGTACGAATCACCCAATCCAATCTCCCAACAGAAATGAGACACGAATGGGATCAAAAGGCTACTTTCCTTCTATGAATCATCATCAATCATGCTCTCAAATACCACTACTTGTGTAAACGGCTCTGGTAAAGCATGCCTTGAGGTTTGGCTTTCACTCTTCCAAACGCCGCATCACAGGAAATTCCGGCACAGTATGACTACTGGAAAGCAGACTTTTAAAAACAGAAAGATTTGTTCGATCCCAAACCAAATGGCCATTCCCTCAATGAGAAAGAGAATACAAAACAGCCAGTAAAGTAAGAACCGAAGTGCAATTTTCATTATTCTGTGACGCAGCCGACACCTAAGGATTTTTTGACTCAATCAAACATCACGAATAAAAAGCCCGACGGCTTTTTGATGTCTAGGCAACACGGGTTAAAGGCTGCGTCGCCGCACGAAGAGAGAAGAAAAGAAGGAAAGGATAACAAAAGAGTGGCAGGGAAGGAATTTTTATATCGGAAACCGGGATGTAGTTTTTCCGAGAGACTACTTTTTAGCGAGTTCTCATAAAATAAAAGTAAAATAAATATCAAGTCGATGTCGACAAATACACAAGGCCAATGAATCCATGTGCACCCTCGGGTTCTCGATATCGCCTCTTTCGCTCTTTCAATAGTTTCGACATGTTTCTTTCCCCTTGCTTGGGAAAGAGGAGTTCCATAAAATCATCTGTACACCGCAACCAAGCCCATGACGTAGCTGCGTTCAAGCGAACGGAAAGAAAAATCCACAACTATTTTCGCTCCCTTTTTTTTTTTTTTTTTTCCTTCCTTTCTCTTCTTTTTTTACACTATGGTGGTCAATGATGAGTGATATGTGGCCATGGTCGTGTATCTCAATACATATATAGGAAGAGGATGAATTGCTCTCTTTTGAGAGCTTGATATCGACTGACAACACTCTGAGGCCTGATTTGGTTTTATTCCAACCAACTCGATCGGATCGATATTTTTTTCCACTACTACCTATCTCTGTTTTTTTGGTTTCGAACCATCAGAATGCTTTTTTATTCCCTTGACTTTAAATTTTAATTCACAAAGTTTCTGTGCATCATTTTACATCTGGTTTGATAACCAAATATTCACGCTGAAGCCCTCGAGGCCTCAAATCATACTTTTGACCCTAACTAACGCATGAGAACAACAACCACGGTCCTGGATAGCTCGTCTTCTAACGGACCTACGTCCTCCCTGGATATCTGGCCGTATTGATGATAGTAGTAGTCCTCTACTCTCATCATCTAGGGTGGAGGACACAGACTGATGGAACCACATTGGCATGTTGAATCATGAATAAAGTTGAGCGTGTGCAGGTGGTTTTTTTGCTATGCGTGCGTAGGAAAATCTATCTTTGATTCCTATGATTCCCCCGAATTTTCTACTATTCTAATCGTTAGAAATACACAAATCGCGGACAGGAGGATCCTCTATCAGCATCCCTTCTGGCTGCTGATGCCGTGACTCCGGGTCCTGCAACATAGAGTATTCTTCTAGCTGGCCACCGAAAGGAATGAGAGCCTTTCTCCCCCCCGGGTTGGTTGCAAACCTAAGATATATTTTTACCAGACAGGGTCTCTCTTGTGGACAAACACTTTGCTTCTCCACCCTCGAGGCCTTGTTACTATGTACTATGTCTTCTAGGGATGGTGTAGTTGCTTTGGCAACGAAAACAACTCCATAGTGCCTGGAACTCCCAGATGGCAGTATGAAACCATCATTCATGGACTGCCAGCAAGTAGGGTTGTTCAAGAATAGAATGTGATGCTCTCTCTACACTACCTACATATTTCTCCTGCCATTGAGTTGTGCAGACAGTTTACTTAAACCCATACGTCCATACCTCGTTAACATGATGGCCTCCTTGGATAGGTGGTGTCTTACCTTGCCCGCGCCTGGAGGAAACAGTGGATGTCCATACCCTGGATAATGTTTTCTATCTGACAAGGGAGAATAATCTGCAAAACTTGAGACTCTGTCTATCCTTTTTTTTTTTTCTTTTTTCTTTTTCTTTTTTTGCGTGGAAAATGCTTTCGTTGTTGATCAGAAGAGTTTCCTCGCTTCACTCCCAAAGGGGGAATGTCCAAAAAGTTACTAGGAGAAGAAAAATCCCTTCTTTTGAAAAAAACAACTTGGGTTCTGGGTGGAGCTCCGCCGCATTGATCACCATATCCAATTCGTTTCCAAGGACTACTGTGGCGTCTGTTGGGCCAAATATGGAGAAGCCGTGGGAACAGTGCAGGTAGTCCTTTGTATTTCCCTGTTTAGATCATATATCGATTATTAAATATTTGTTATTTTCTGGTGGGTGCTATCAAGAGTCACCCGAAATCGGACCTGCTGAATGTCCGTTCCAATCTCCTGACAAATAGCAAATTTTGAGAGAAATTCAGTCCCTCGCTGCAGTTTCTTGATTACCCTCCACTATACGCCCTACCACTGAATTGCAGTGAGATGATTCCCATTGTTGCATCATGTAGTGGAGAATGGGACAACAGCGCTGCCTTAAAAAGGACCGCATCATCCATCGCATAACTCCTTGCTCTTCGTTGCTCTCAAAGGATATCTATCCTTCTCCATTACTTTGAATTGCTTCGACGAATTTTTGAAAGATACTGGTCATTTCTACCCTTCGATCCCCAAGCACACGGTTTACAGCACATTACGATGGAATTTTTCTTCACATATTCAAGATCAACTTCTACACTTCAATATGAAAACCAGTCCAAAATCTAAGCGCTTTGTTCGATGGATCCACATCAAGCCCAGGGGCGACACCTCACCCCTTCTGCCTGGGAAACTGGAACTGTTTCCTAGGGCTATCATCCAGAAATTTTGATGGATTTTGAATAAAGAATGTTTATCCGGCTGAGGACCGTGTCATTTGTCATCGGCAAGCTCACCCTTGTCGGTTAAAAAAGAAAGCTTACGAAATTGTAAGTAAATGGGGGAGGGGGGGGGGGAGAGAGATGAGTTGACACAAAGGGAATCTGTTCGCTCCCTTGCAAAAGCTGGCTGTAAGTTAATCTTGCGGCATAGCACTCAATATCCAATAGTTTGTGAGCGGATCAAGCAGAATCTGCTGCACCATGCGGTAACTGCAGTAGCGCGAAGGAGATAATTTCAGTGAGTGTGCATGTTGGTTTACGACATTACACCACGAAGATGAGGACAGAATCATTCGCCATGTCCAGTTGGAGGAACTGAGAAGAAAAGCGATAAGTGAAGAGTCGAGGAAACCTACAGAGGGCTATCTAGTTGTACTGTACCTCCAAACTAGGCAGCGAAACTACGAAGTTCAATGGTCAGTTATCTTTATGGGAAAACCTTTAATCTTCACTATTATGGAAGGGATAATATTATGGGGTTAACAACAGGGCATTATTCAGGAATCGTGAATCACGGCTCTGAGACTACTGTCGATGTGGTTCCTTGAACAGCATGAAGGAAGGAAATCAAACGAAGCTCTTTGGAGCCGTTTAAAATATTCACTCGTATTGTTCGCCAGCCTTTTATATTGAACGATGGATGGATTCGAACCCTCTGTTCTGGAGAACTGCAATTGGGAATACCTCAAAACGGCCTCGTTGTCATCGTTCCTGTTATCTCACGTCCATGTAAGCCAAATATCTTGGGGCGGAGATGAGGGGCGATGAACTATCGTTGATGGATCCCTTTGAGGGGTTTGCGGGGAACATAATTCCACAATCGAGATATGAACAGCAAAAGAGTGGGCTAGTGTTCAGTACAGTGGAGGCTAATGAGATAGGCTGGAGTCTCTTTGGATGGGCCGACTGAGCGCCCATTCTTGTGGAGAGTCATCGCTTGTCCAATATGGGTCTAGGACTCTTTCGTGGGCAGAAAACGTGGTGTTTTTTGGTGATCGTGGGGACATGATTATTTCCTGCATATTCTAATTTCTTTCGAAGGACTACTCTCAAAGAATCCGTCAGAAGAATCGAGGCTAATATGGCCCTTTGTCCCGCCTCGCTCATCGCCTTCTTTTAGCAATGGCCCATCATCCAGTGTTGCCAGTCAGTGCCTATCTTCAATCCAAACCAAGACCTGTCTTTCAAAAACCGCACCTGGAGCCACAGCACTAGAGGGAAAACTAAAATATTCGGTACATGCAGAACTAATTGCCTACCAACTGGGATTGTGTTGTATTTTCTTCTATTGGATACAAGCCGCAATTGCTCGCTTGCGCTCACTATCCAGCTTGAAAACTCACTGTTTAATCCCTCAAATGAACATAATAAAATATATATATTTATTTATCTGATAATACTGATTTATTAGATGATTATCTGACTGTCTATTGATCTATTTATCTACTCATCTGCTTGAATGAATGATATCTATCAATGATATATATTGATGATAGTTAGCAATGACAGCTAGCAATGATATATAGCAATGATATGTAGCAATAGCAATGATAGCTGCCGATGATATAGCTAGTAATGATAGCTAGTGATGATATAGCAATAGCGATGATATATAGCAATGATAGCTAGCGATGATATGTAGCAATGATATATAGTGATGATGTATAGCGATGATAGCTTGTACTGATCACAGAGCTGGCTGGATGGATTTGATGAATATTCCTTCGATGAACATATGGTCATGGTTATTTCCTCAAAAGTTGTGTGTTTCGACCTGCCGAAAATTATTGTTGACGGTCCAATGGCAGTAGACTGTTGACTAACTATTCACTTGTCAAAAAGCTTAATAATAGTCAGGTACCCAACCCAAAAAGG